AACAATGCTCAAAAAGTCATATAATAGTTTAAGCATAAAAACGATCAAAAAAAAGTCAGCGATAAATTAGAAGTTAGTGAAAATGTCAAAAAACGTTATAGTATAGTAAGCATAAAATGTGATACTATATTAAGGCATAAAAATGTCAAAAACTGTCATAGTATAGTAAAGCATAAAAATGTCAAAAATCATGTATACTATAGTATAAAAATGTCAAAAACTCATAGAATCAATAAGTAAAGCATAAAATGTCAAAACTCCATAGATATAACTATGGAATAAAAACGATCAAAAAACGTCATAGAATACTATAGCATAAAATATAGTCAAAAACGGCATAGCTCTCTCTCGTCAAAAAACTCACTAGCTCTACTATGCATAAAAAAATTCACACACACATTGTAATAGTTACTATTGGCATTACAAAAACTGCTCAAAAAAACGTAATCAGTAACTATCGCCATAAAAAAATGTCAAAAAAAACGTCATAGCTATACTCCAAGGAAAAATGTAACTATATTAAAGGCATAAAAACAGTCAATAAAACGTCATAGTAATACAATGCATAAAAATGTCCAAAAAAACGATCATAGATATATAGGCATAAAAATGATAGTATATTTAACATAAAAAATGTCAAAAAAACGTATCAGTACTACTTGCATAAAAAACGTCAAAAAAAAACGTCATGAGTATATAGCATAAAAACGCGATAGTATATAAGGCCATTAAAAATGTCAAAAAACTCATAATATACTATAGCATAAAAATGTCAAAAAACGTCATATTATACTATAGAATAAAAACTCCAAAAAACGTAATAGATATAGTCAAGGCATAAAAAAAGCCATAGTATATCAAGCATAAAAGTCAAAAACGTTCATAGTATACCTATGGCCCATAAAAATGTCAAAAAAAAACTCAAGATATACCTATGGATTAAAAAAATGTCAAAAATGTCATAGTATATTAATGGCATAAAAATGTCAAAAAATCGTCATAGCTATAACTATGCATTAAATAAATGTCAAAAAAACGTCATCAGATATCAGTAAGGCATTAAAAACAGTGATTGTTATTAAGCATAAAAATGTCCAAAAAAACGTCATAGAACTATAGCAATAAAAATGTCAAAAACTCATAGTATTACTATGGCATAAAAAAAACCGTCAAAATAACGTCATAGTATAGTACGGAATAAAAAAGCCGATAGTATATCAAGCATTAAAAAAGGGTCAAAAAAACGTCATAATTCACTTTGTATCATTTAAAAAATGTCAAAACAACGTCTTTTATGCCATAGTATACTATGACGTTTTTTGACGTTTTTATGCCATAGTATACTATGACGTTTTTTGACGTTTTTATGCCTTAATATAGTATCACATTTTTATGCCTTACTATACTATGACGTTTTTTGACATATGCCTTATTATACCATACTATACTATGACGTTTTTTGACATTTTTATGCCTTAATATAGTGTCACATTTTTATGCCTTACTATACTATGACGTTTTTTGACATTTTATGCCATAGTATACTATGACAATTTTTGACGTTTCCATGCCTTACTATTCCATGACTTTTTTTTTTTTACATTTTATGCCATAGTATACTATAACGTTTTTTTTAATGTTTTTATGCCTTACTGTACTATGAAGTTTTTTGACATTTTCATGCCATAATATGCTATGATGTTTTTTGACGTTTCCTTGCCTTACTATACTATGACATTTTATGATAATTGATGCCTTACTATACTATGACCTTTTTATGTCTTACTATACTATGACTTTTTTTTTACATTTTAATGTAATAGTATACTATGACATTTTATGACAATTGATGACATACTATACTATGATGTTTCATGCCATAGTATACTATTATGTTTTATGACAATTCATGCCATACTATACAATGACGTTTTTTTTTTACGTTTTTATGCTTCACTATACTATGATGTTTTTATGCCTTACTATACTATGATGGTTTTTGATATTTCCATGCATTAATATACTATCATATTTTTATGCCTTACTATACTATGACATTTTTTGCCTTATTCTACTTTGACATTTCATAGTATAATAAAGCACAAAAACGTCAAAAAACGTAATAGTATAGTAAGGCATATAAATGGCATAGTATAGTATGGTACAAAAATGTCATATTATAATAAGGCATAAAAACGTCAAAAAACATCATAGTATAGTAAGGAAGAAAAACGTCAAAAACCTCATAGTATAGTAAGGCATAAAAAAGACAGAAGAAATTTTAAAAAAATGAAAGTCATACTTAGATATATCAATAACCTCATGTTTATTCCTGCTAGCAACCTGATTGAATACAGAATCCAGGGTTAGCTTGGTAGTCAACGCTATCTAATATGATTAAATAACATCAGTTGACATTTTTCTGGTTATATTAGGTATCACTGCGATGTTCTCACATGACGTGAGCCTCCAGATAGCCCCCGCCCTTTCAGTCAATCAAATGCTTGCATGCCTGCATCGGTTGTCTCGTAGACGTAGCTCACATTGGAACTATCTAATGTGACTTTACTCCAAACATAGTGCGAACGAGTTCACTCAACTATTGGGAGGGACAATTCTGTTGTCCGAAAATATCGGAATGGACATGTTCCTACCGTTCATATGCAAACCTACGCCCTTGGTCTCAGGACATTTCCATATAGCAGTTTTGATTAGCCTCGTGTTTCTCTATTTTGTTGGTGGGGGGAATGGGGGGTTGATGCTTATCAGATGCAAAATAGCACACCTGCTGTTCCAAAACACCCTCAGTGGGTTCAAATTAGTGCTCCCCTGCTTCTTGTTCTTCTATTGAATATCCCGCTGCAACAAAAGGATGACAATGTTTTTTCTTTTTCATTACAAGTTCTGTGACAATCAAAACAAAATGCCTTGTTGAATTTAGTATTACAGATTTGTGAGTGGTTTGGGCTGTGAACAATCAGACATGATTCTCCTGAATCCATTGATTACACTGATCAAAACTCATCAGTATGATTAATGAAACACACGAAAGAACCCCACCTGGGAGCTGATTTCATTATCATTGTGATGGAGCATCCAAGCAGGTAAAAGGTGTACAGTGAAAATCCAGAGAACAAGGGAAGGACTTCATAAGGCAGTAGTATCCCATCTTTTATTAATGTCACTCCCTGGGACAGCAGGTTTTTGTCAGTCAGAATGGATAATGAAGATGTTGGCAGGGCCGGTGAGTCCATCCCTTTAATACTCACATATTTTATGATAATGAAAGGTACTCAAAGAATGATTATGATAAAAGTGGAGTCCCCCACTGATGTGCCAGCACAGCTGTGCAGCTAGACAGTCAGCTGCAGGCACCGAATAAAAGGATCACACAGCAAGCAAAAAAAAGATCCATATAAGTACATAAAGCGAATAGCTGATGGTATTGTAGCCAGCCCTACGTCGGCAGCGCTGCATGTTACACTGCATGACGAAAAATAATATGAAGCAAAAGCTTTCGGTCTTGAATGTCAGTATGAAAACCTTTTTGATCTTATTCTGTCTGCATTGGCTCCATAGCATGAAGCCCTTTCACCATTCTGACCTTTACATGAGCCTTGTTGAAACAGGTTTAATCTTTGACTAAACAATGCTGTGAGTGTGCAGTGTGCACAGGCTATTTGTTATGGTTTCAGATGTATCTACCACTGAGTCTTTACATCAAAGCAGCAAAAATAAAAAATGAACCGAGCAACAAGGAAATTTCATCATGTGATATTAGTTGCATATTTAGGAGGTCATATACAGAGGACATTGATGGTCGTGTGTGCTGTGGCACCCCTGATGTGCATATCAGTAACATCTTCCAAGCATCAAAGCATCAACTGGGGTATTGTACTGTATGTGTAAACAAACTTAGCGGCCCCTAAAGCAAAGCCATACCAACCCGCCAGAGCTTCAAAAGTTTCCTGCAAGCTGTAGGAAGCAGGTGAAAAAATAGAAGTGCAATAAACTTTGACCCCGGGTGCGCACTTGTTGACTGATGTTTCACACTGGGGTCGCCTTTTCCCTCGGCAGCGTTCTTCAAGAGGAGCAGGCCCGTGTGCAAGTATATATGTGTGTGCGTGCATGCATAGTCCCCGGGGAGATCATCCCCATCTCCCTTTGAAGGCTCTGTGCTATAGAGCTGTTTTCATACAGCACCGGCCATGGGTTTCCTGTCTCTGCTGACCCCTTGTCTCCTCTTGGACACTTCAGAAAAACTTCTCAGCACAAACACCTTTCTCCCATTAACTACAGAGGCTACAGGGGGAGAGGGGAGGCAAAGGGGGTTTTGAACCTCAGAGTGCCATCCCACTCAGGAACAAAGAGTTGGGTATTAAAAACAAACATGATAACCACATCAGCCCACCAGCAACACTTACCAGCTGATGCCTCACACAGACAAGTTGGTGTGCTGTGTTTTTCCTGCTTGGGTTAAGACTATGTTGTGGTCCTGTGCATGTGTGGATTAATGCTCTTGGTCCAAACTATAGCAGCTTTTGAGTATAGGAACATTTGGGTCTCCTGACAAGAGGCCAAACCAAATAAATTTTACAACAGATTCTCTGGATCCACACATGCATGGTGCTCTGTCCAGCTGACACAACACAGGGTCAGAGATGAAAAGAGGACGGGTTCACCAAGGATCAGTTCCACATGGCCTTCAAATGGGGCAACAAAACAGCACAGTGCAGACGACCATATAACCAGCACCAGCATCCAGCACACCTGCCTGAGACACCTCTCATACCCATGAAATCAAATTAGATACCTGATACACAAGCAGTATCATACATGAAAAAATCTTTATAAAAGAGTTTAAATTACAAAAAAAACTAACTGTAAATGTGCAACACATTTTCCCCTTTTATTTTCCATTTTTAAGCAGCAGATGAATTTTTTTTTTTTTTTTTTTTTTACAAAGAACAAAACTAGAGCCTGATACACAGATTGTGGTCTTTATTTCAAAATGGTACAAAGCCAGAATTACTGCGATAAAATCATACAAAATGGAACAATGGAAAAATTTGTTTTACGGCAGGCAGGGGTCCCTGTACGCTCCCTCAGGGTGCGCTGCGTTTAAGCTGGTCCAGTTTGCGTCGCAGCATGTTGTAGTTGTCTCTGGTCCCAGGAGCCTCGGGGTCCAACTTTAGAGACAGCTCATAGTGTTTCTTTGCCAGCTCCAGCTTCCCCCAGCGATGATACAGCACAGCTGAGGAAAAACAGAAATGCTCTTCAAGCTGAGAAGCAGCAACAATTCTTCTACTATTCATTTAGTGCATTCAGTTCAGGTCAGGTAGGCTGCACAACATTGCTTCTGCTAACATGCACAATTATTCTTTTCAGCTTCTGAGCAATTAGAATCTCTCAACTGTGTAAAATATATGTTATAAGCAAAGTTGCAGTAGCCTTACCTAAATTGCCATGGCAACTAGCAGCATTTGGGTTGATTCGAAGAGCGTGAAGGAAGAAGCCCTCTGACTCCTGAGGAAAGAAAACAAAATAAACAAAAAACGAAAAAAAGAAAAGAAAAAAAAGAATCACAAAACAGTGAATTATCTGTACTAGTTAGAGAAATATGCCATGTCTGGATTATGGCAGACAAGGAGGACCTTGTAAGGAATAAAATCACAAACATGCACAAAAAAATAATATTCTGAGATGAAATGTTTATGGAATGCAGACTGGCCTTGTATTTCTGTAATTTCCCCAGGACGTTAGCCAATGAAAACATGATAGTGTGGTCGTTGGGGAGGAGCTTTAGAGCCTCTCGGCCGATCAACTCTGCTTGACCCAAGTTACCTTCGAAAACAGAAGAGACAAGTACAAAAAATATTACAGATTAATTTTTAGTGATACACACACCGCACGTACAGCTTAGCACGTACATACACATATTTTTTTCAGTGTAATCTACATAATATGGTAACCAACACATATGCTACTAAATTTGTGTGTTAACATTCAAATAGTCAGAAACTCAAAGCCAGAGATACATTGGTAATAACAGCTGGTATACAGAGAATCTGACTGCTTGCTTTATTTGTCAGCAGTGTCTAAAGCAGAGTTTTTCCTTCTCCACACATGGAGGAGCGGTTTAGTCTCCTAATTAAGGTTGAACACAAGGCCCACTGGGTTATTGATCTCTGTCACAGACACGTCTGATGTCTGGCCAGAAATGGAGAAAGAGAAAGGGAGAGAGAGAGAGAGAGAGAGAGAGAGAGACAGTCATGTCCTGAGTCATGGCCTGTGCCCTTCAGACACAGCTTGCCAACATGCGACTAAATGTGTGACTGTGTCTGAGCGCATCCGCCTGAATCTACACTGATTCTGCCTTTTGTTTGTGTAATGATCAAAACAAAAGAGGGGGGGTAAACACCAAAGAGAAAAGAATATTCCCATTTCCTTGCTATTTGAAAATGACACCTATTGTTCTTCTTTTCTCTCTCTTTTTTTTTTGTTTGGCAGGGAGCTGGGGAGAGGGGTAGAATTATTTCTGTCAGATTTGGGGAACAAATGCAGAGGGGGGAACTCTGAGGGGGCGCTGTTCTGGCTGTGCTTGCCCACGTTTGATCAGGAACACACTGGGCCCTGATTGGACAGTTCCAGTGCCCTCCTGGGAGACTCCGCCCCCACGGGAGCGGCTTCTGACAAAACGGCTCGAGCGTTTGGAAATCAGAGCATTCTCCACACGGCAGGGAAGAGTGCCTTCAAAACTCACAACACAAAGCTTTAATACATAAATTTCAAGCATTGCTGATTCCTGCTCTTCCGGTCTAATCTTGTTGGCCATTTAGATTTCCTGCCTTTCCAAAATAACAATGCTGTGTTTCTTGGCTGTTAATGCTGAAACAAACTGTACCCGGGACAGAGAGTCCTTTGAAAGTAAAGTGACTCATAAAAAACACATTCAATCAGAAATGCGTGAATATCATTATCATTATCATTATCATTATTATTATTATTATTATTACTACAAATATGTATGAAATAAACTAACCTTTAACAGCATAAGAAAACATCAAATTTGTTGTTATGTGTAGTCTGTGTATTAAAAAATCTTAGTCATTTTAAGCAGGTTAAGGTGTGATTTTTTTTTTTTTTTGCCAAAAATTGCTAGTACTTGATTTTCTGTACAGTATTCACAGTATTTGTGTGTGCATTTTTGTTGATACCAGTGTTGTCTAGCAGAATGACCATGTTGTTCCAAGCCAGGCTGTGGTCAGGTTTCAGCACCGTTGCATTCCTCCATGCATTCAGGGCATCCACGTGTCTGTTCTGGTCAGCATACTATGATGAAAAGAGAGAAAAATTAAAAGGATAACCCCTCTCAAATTTACCCTCTCTCTTTGTATGGCAAAAATCAACCATTATACAGTAGGTTTTTTCCATTATTAATTTTGCTGAGATTCAGGTTTTGGAGAAGCAATGTGCAAATCTGACAGTTAGCCTTTTTTGCCTACTGCCTCTTTACTCTTTAAAAACAGCACCTGCTAAACACAGTTTAAGACCCTGGAGTCTCACCAAGCGTCCCAGGTTATAGTAGCAGTCTGGGTATTTTTTCCTGAAGCGGATGGCGTTCCAATAGCTCTGCTCTGCTTCCTCAAACTTCTGCAGGCTGTTCTGAACTATTCCTAGATTCATCCAAGCAGCAGCAAAGTCAGGCCTGCACAGATTGAAAACATACAATACCAGTAGTATATCAGTAGGATCATTATTTTTCCGAGTTATTCCGTGTTGGAACCAGTAAAATGAAATGATCATTTGTGTGATACAACTGTGTTTCTTTATGTGGGACAACATACTGAATAGAAACAGCTTTAGATAAAAGTTGCTCTGCCTCGATCAGTTCATTCCTCTCCTTCAGGATATTCCCCAGGTTGTTCATGGCATGGACGTAGGTAGGATGTAGCCTGAAAGCCACAGGAAACGTGCAAAACAAAGTCAACTCCTGGCTCATCTGTTAGCAGCTGACTGGATTTCCAATGCTTGTGAGGAGACGTACCTGACTGCCTCTCTGTAATATCTGATCGCAGCAGTAGTGTTCCCTCTGTCAGCCAGGTTCTTACCTACATTGTAATGGACCTGTGGAATCAGTGACAAAGACATGAGGCATCCGAGTGTGACTTCAACTGTTTGGCTGTAATTTATTTCCACATGTAAACTACAAGCCTGTGCTGACACATGCTGCAAAGCGGCAGGCAAACACACAAAGCACAGATTTCTACCTTGGCATTGAGTGGACAGACAGGCAGGGCACTGGTGAAAAGGCTTTGCTCCGACCGCCACTGGTGACTGCGGAGAGCACAGCGCGCTACATACACACACAACAGTAAAAGCACCGACACACACAGCAGCTTCTGTAATGTGGAAGAAAAAACAGAAAAAGAAAGAAGACATTTGACAACCATGTAATCTAAGTACATTATAACCCTTAACCTCAAAAAAATACATTTTCTCAGAGTCAGAGTTAATAGCCTGTAAATGTACCTATGTAACACATGGACACCACCTGCTGTTAACACCCCTTTATAGGTGAGTCAGTAGTCATTTCTCATGTCTGTTGCTTCTCTGCATCACTGAACTACTGAAGCATCAAAGTTGCATAAACAGGTGGCTAAATAAAAGACTTTACAACCAGGATAGTGGGAGCCATCGGCTGTAGAAATAGAAAGGTCACCGGGTTGTATCTATGCTGGAAACTGAGTGCTCATCAGGGTTCGTCAGCAGCGTGTGGCAGCTCTTATTTTGGCGTGATCTTTTTGGTATGATTTAGCCCTACCCTGTATTTGTTCCAGTGGTAGCAGCAGTGTCCCAGGGAGTAGGCCAGCAGTAGGCAGTAGCCAGCTGAAGACAGGTAGAGCACTCTCTCAGCAATGACGAAGCCCACCCTGAAAAAAATGTTACAGGCTGGCAGAAAAGGGACCACCAGCAGCACCAGACCCAAGGTCAGTGTCCTGGCAAGGAGAGGAAAAGGCCACAGAATACAAGAGCATTATACACGGGTACGTGACACTCAAAAATTCAAGTCTGACATTGTATGGAGAAGAAATTTAGGCTCAGGGAATGTAGGCTCAATAAACCATCCTCCACTCAGGAAACTTTCCTCATGAACCAAACACAGTCTGTCTCTAAAACCAGCAGAGAATTTTAAAAACTCTATAACAGCTATCGAGACGTGGTGCTCTGGTCACACTACAGTGGATATGATACAATTTTCATAATCAAGTGTAAGTCTAGAGAGGCCAACATGTGCTTCATCTCATCTACAGTGAGTGCGAGATGGCTGTGCTTGCTTACCTCCTCCTCTGGCTGTCCTGCGAGCATAAGGCTTGGCTTATCAAGCCTATCAGGACGCACCAGAGCAGTAGCAGCCACACCATCCTCCAATCAGTGGCTGACTTAATGAGAGGCACACAGCCCATGGACCAATCAAAACACAGCCACCAGGGACACAGCAGCAGCCAGGCATTCAGAGAGTAGTAGTAATTATAGTTCACTATCTGCCAATCAAAGAGGAACAGGAGGGGTGAGGAATGGAAGAGAGTAAGGAAAGAGGAGGGCAGTACAACAGTTCAAGTTCAGAATCAAAGTCAATCACTGTGTTCAAAAATGATGAAGATTTCAGATGTTTAATTAGACTTAAACGATGTACAAATGAAATATGCTTCAGTCAATTTATAATTTCAATTTATAGCATAGATCCCAACTTATAGTGTTAATGATTCAAGAAAATAAAGACAATTTCTGGATCTAATCATGTATAGCTAATAAATGTAATCAAATAAACTCCATGAGGAAATCGGACTCACTCTAAGAAATATATTTTCTGCAAAAGAGGCAGGGTTGTCTACTTCAGTAAATGCTGGTGGTCCTGTTCCCATGATCCTCCAGCGTGCATAGAGCATTGAGAGTCCTCCAAGACCCATGAGAGCCAATCGTGTTAGCAGTCCTGTTCGTAACATCTCACTCACCTGTCAGAGAAAATATGACGACTTGTCACCGACAAATAAAAACCCATGCTTGTTAAGTTACTTTCAAGCACTGGCTCCTCGTCACAATGCGTGGAAATCCATGTTGCTGTGCTTAAACAATATATGTGATGCGACACTAATCATACAAGGGAGTGCATAATTTATGACAGAAAAGATGGGGAGGGTGTATAAGCTGTAACTCACATCGAGTGGATTCTTCCTAAGGAGTAGCCTCTGGCTGAGTTCATACACATTAACATTACAGATCAGGAGGACATCAAAGGCTGCATTCACACCCTGAAGGGAAATACATAGAGAGGGAGGAAGAAATGGCATTTAAAATTTATATAGGTCAGCAACAATATGAATCTTTAGCTCTTATTGTACATGAGAAAAACATGAGACTTTTAGGTTTTTCCACTTAAGCTATTCCATGAAATTGAAATCAATTGTCTTTATAGCATGCGAGTGTTATATCATGCATCACTGTTGATCATTTAAACATTGTTACTATTGGATGTAATGAATCATTAACTCACTGCAAAATGGCTTTACAAAAAGACTTCCTACCAAGACTGTGATGCCTTGTTCTTTACAGAGCATTGCTGCGGCACACAACAAGAGGCTGACCACAACCCACTGGACAGAAAACCTGTCATCTCTGTCACTCCCTGAAAACACAAAGCCAAGAGCAAGTTGGATATGGACAGTTAAGGTGTTCAAACAGGTGCATTTAGAAAAGAAAAACAAGCAGCCCCACAATGTTATACTTTGACTTGTTTTGGATACCTACCTCTGTTGAAAGCTTTGCAGTAGGTGAGGAATGAGAGCTGGAAGAACAGAGCGCATAAAAGGTCTGCTCGACCCACTATACCAGCCACCTTATTGAGATGGAGAGGGAAAAGAGAGAGACAGAGCAAGAGGATGAAAGGTGTGATATATGAGGGATGAAAAAGGCAGCATAAAAAGTTAAACTACCAAACATACATAAAAACAGCATTATGATGTAAATGTTTGCATTTTGTATCATCATATTCTGTTTTGCATGGCGCATCCACTCACAAATGGACTTATAATGAAATGGCTTATTAACAGAGGTGGGAAGAATGACTCATTAGCAGCGTGACCTCTTGGTTTGTGTGTTGTATATGGTGTGTGGGTACAGTATGGTTGGCATCCTGGGGTTATCTGCTTTGATACATACAGCAGGCCTAAGCCAACAGTCTGCCTGCCTCCCACCCCCCAGGTCTCACCCAGTCCTTGCCCTACATGATTAAAGAGAATGGAGAGGGGGAATTGCTGCCTTCCAGCCAGGCTTTACAGCAAACACACATATGCTGGCAGGTCAATAAGCAACCCGACACAGCTAATAGTCAGGCCATGCTACCACGCGTACCTCGGCCCTGCACTCCCAGCTGAGACAGGGCTTTTGTTCTTAGCATGGAACCACTGCATGTTTTGTATCAAAACCTCTGGACTGGTATGTCAAGATGCCATGATGTGCTGCTTTAGGGGATCCACGTTGTTAAGAAAAGTTTTTCTTCATAGCCCAAAATCACAACAAGTACCAGTACTGAGACACAATTTGGCTGTATAGGCCCACAACTGCAACTGTGTCTGACCCAGCCCAAGCAAAAGAACAAGAGCTGACCTAACTTGATACAACTGATGCATCAGGATCTAAGAGGGGGAAAAAGCGATCTAAATATGTAATCATCACACTATCATGTGTCCGGAGATGGATGGAAAATGTCAGAATAATTTCTTCATTGTTCAGACACATTGCGGCAAACTGTGGTCTAAGACTGAAAAGTGATGCAGTGGTCACAACATCAAATGCACTCACTAAATCATTTCATGTTCTCTTCTTAGTTTATATTTACATTTCACACAAATATCACAGAGAACTTTGTTTTCAGCATGTGCACTGAGTGCAGATTTCACCTAAAACCTTTGCTTACAATGTTCCTAACCATTTTATACAATTAAGAGAAATCTGTTTTTGCTGTTTCATTCACTGTGTGAACATGCAGAAAAAGGACAATTCAGGTTGGTCACCCACTCTGTGAATTATATGAAATGCAACTCTGAGACAGAGGAATGTGTTTCTTTAAGGAGGGAAAAATAATGGAGGGGGCAGCAGTTGCACACTTCTGGTTCAGTGTTATACAGTATAATAGAATACTGTGCTGCAAGGAGAGAAAGTATTTCAATAGAGCTTCCAATCCAAGCTCATCCAAAACTATCCACATTTTATCTTCCACCATACTCATCATTACTCACTAGAAGGTGGAATGTTTATTATGTTATGAACTTTAGATTTATCACACAGTTTTTTTTGTTTTCACCATTAAAAAAATACAGATGGCCTGTGAATTGATGACCTCTGTATAAAAAAAAAAAAAAAAAAAAAAAAAAAAAAAAAAAAAAAAAAAGGATGTTTTTCTTTTCACAGTATTTGGTGGTTGGTGTTTTCTTGCAGCTTTGTCTTTTCAGACACCATGATGTAATTTGTGTGTTTTCTGAAATACAGTTTGGAGCATGCACTTGCTGTTGTGCAAAACTGAACAAACATGCTAAAATGTGGCACTGTTGTCTCCAAAAATCAGAGGAAAAACAAAAAATGTGTATTAGTATGCACTCTACCAATAATTGAACTTGATTTTGAACTCTGCTTACACTTTCTGTGTGGACCGGATGTGCAGCAAAGAAGAGGGCAGCGAGTAGAGAAGTCTTGGGGGCGTGGTTCAATTTCCTATTGTTCTCATCATAGGCAAGTCCACCAATCAGTATAGCAAACACATCAATCATAAGGGCAGATATGACGGCATGGAGGACAATGTTCAGTACATGGAAGCCAACAGGGTGCAGGCCTCCCGCCACGAGGTAGTTCAGCCTGCAAAAACAAGAGGTAAATGATTGGTAGGTGAGGGAAAGAGGCCAGACGCCAGAGTTCATCCAGTAAATGGGAGTCCTTACCTAAATGTAAGGACAGTGAGAGGTCGGTAGGATTTGTGACTAGAGTTGCTACTCAGGTTGCTTCCCCAGAAGTCATTGGTCCAGATGTTGTTCAGGGGTGTTGCTGGTTTCAAGTCCTGCAAAAGAAACTCAAAGTGAGACTGATGCCAGCAACACTGACCTGTGCAGAATGTCACTCCATTGATGCAGCATAAGGAATGCAATAAAATGGATCAATTTTGCAACACAGGAGGTAATATCATTGCTATTGCAAGTGTCTGTATGTGACGTTCATAGATATATTACCTTGTTGTTGACGATTGCTTCCGAATCGTCAAACACAAACTCCCCGTCATAACTGTTAATGAAGCACAGGAGTGCTACCAAGGCGACTGTGACCTTGGCCTGGACTGGAGCAAGCTTTGGCAGGGGTATTTCACGATCCCAATAAACTTCAGACAATGCCATGATGCACCAGCTCTTTGGTCATTCTGTATCAGCAGGTGAAGGAGGATGGGTGCATGCACACAGTCATAATGTATCAGCCCAGCTGCTACAAATGCTATCTAAATCGTGGGCTGTTAATAACTGTAGCGAAACAGTATACAGCTGTCTTAGTAATAAAAGCACAATCTTTAAACACTGGGTGGATTCATACCTTATCTTATGAGAGAAATGCTGTAGGAGGTCACCCTGTCTTGTGTAACTCCCATGTTAGCTTCTCTGCCAGCTGGCTAACTAGCAAGTGTAATCGTTAACTCGCTGAAAGGAGCGAGGACCGTACCTGCTAACAGACGTAGTGATTAGCTTTGCACTTTGTAATAGTGAGGTGAAATAATTAAACTGTCACAGACGTCTACATGACGGTGTAAGGTGAAGGGTACCCTGGAAGTTAGCAAGGTAGTGAAGCGTGGCTTTAGCATGTCTTGTTAGCGGGTGCTATTCCCTTTACCACACGGCATAAACATGACAGACGCACGGGAATAGATATATCGGTAATACGCGCTGTTTATTCTAAATATTTTGCCGAAAACTGTGAATGTTCTCATTCGCATAAAGCGCTCCGGCGAGGTGCAGACGGAGCACCTCACGGCTGTAAACAAATGTACACGCTCAGGCTCTAGCACTTCCCGTCCTACGTCACTATCACGTGGTCATTTTCAGCCAATAGTTGACGTTATACTGAATGTAAAGTGGGTTTGGATCCTGAAACGCCCAGAGGCCAAACACAGAAACACATAGCCTCTTTGAGAAATTAATTGCTCTTACACTGAATAAAAATTACTGAATGACAGTAATTCAGCTGTGGCAAAAATCTCTTCAGCCTGTGAACCCCTTTCTTAACCTTCGAGGAGATGTGGAGCTCATCAAACTCATTCTGCCAGATGGATTTGGTTTACACAGTGAATTTGTTGTTATATTGCTCTAACCTCCTGGAATGATTTATACTTGATTTCGAAGCGTCACAGTGTGACTCAAAATCACCCATCCAACCTGTAAAGAGGTAACTGGTGTCATTTCTTTACCATTGAGTTTATTGTAATCATCAGTCCATTTGCTGTTTACAGCATAATTGGCACTACATTTTCTACATGAATAGACTATAATCAGCTGGCAGCTATCATCATTAGTCCTGTACAGTCACTGGAACAGTCAGCTCATCTCTTATGGGTGGTAATAGTAAGGAATATGTCATAATGCACTATATGCAAAGTGAAAGGTTACAAGGTTCATTTATCATTTGACACAGGGTTGTAGCCTATAACAAGATGAGACTCCACCATGAAAAATAGTTTTATTTTTATGATATCTTATAGTAGCATAAAGGGAACGACAACAATCACTTTTCCATAGAAAACGTTATAGTAAACATCAAGTCAGAGATTGCATGAATAAATAAAGATAAATATTAACATAAATAATAACATTATTAATGTTGAGACATTAGACTCAGTGTCATATTTTAAGATGTTTATTCAGAGAGAATGAATAAAAAGTCATCATGCAAGCATACACTATACAAAAACACTGTAAATGTGCATTTAATTACATTTTGAGATTATCATGCACAAATACAAGTGTACATAATATACATAACATCTCATCCTACATAAACTCTCATCCTAGATAAACTCTCTGGTGGGAAGCATCTGTAAAGAGTACTAAGAGATGTCGGTTTTTACAGATCAATCAGTTAGACATACAGTGCATTTAGAAAGTATTCAGTCACTTTTTTACATTGTTATTTTGCAGTCTTATGTTGAATGTTTAATTCATTCATCAATGTACAATTCCAGCAAGCTAGCTGCTAGCTAATGCTAATGCTAATGGGGATGCAGCTAGCTTGCCCCCAGTGGGCCATGCGCCCAGCCAGCAAGCTAGCTGCCGGGGAAGGTAAACTGGTAAAAGGGAATGTTACTGTAAATTGTCAAACACATCACCATTTATTAATGCTTAATTGGTCTATCCAATAAAGACACTAAGGATTACAATTTAACACAGTTTTTGTGTTATTAGCTCAAGCACATTGTGTCTGTCTCAATTCGATGTGGAAAACCAGGTAATTCCAAAGAATTTTTCTTGCCAATGTATTTCCCTGTCATAGATCGTGTGGCTGTTGTCTCAAACATGGGTAATCTGTTGTCCGTCATAAGATATGTTAGTAGAAAGAAGTGTTAATATAAAGACAAGTGTCTGTAAGAATTAGAGGTGCGGAGTTTGTGGAGAGGCCCACGGCAGACTTTGGGATTTTGTGCTCCATTTCACCTGTCATTGCTTGGGGAAGACAAGGAATCTCCCTAATGGCCAGAGCCAGGGGCCCAGGGTGACAAGAGGGGGGAACAATTGTCAAGGGCACATTCTCAGACCTTTAAAATGGGTCTCAAGGTTGGTTAGAGAAGTAGACACTTATTGAGCAAGAAAGCACACATAATTAAGGCCATGCTTCAAAACATCACCCTTGGTATCTGAACAGTCACATACAGTTGGTGCAGTCTGTTTGGTGAAGCTGCTAGTTTTGAAGGATGCATTTGGTTGGTGCAAAGAAACACATCTTATATTGCCTTCTTTATTGGTATGTTTTCTACTAAAAATGTACAAGAATCTGATCAGAGAACACCCATAATTCTTAATCTACTCAGTTTTTACATCTGGTCTTGATTTAGATTTTTCCTTTCTCACCAGGAACATGGATACTTCTGCAGAAGCATTTAATACCCCAAAATTGCCTAATTACCACCCCATGCAAAATGCATGAAGTATGGATTTCATCTCCTGGTTCTTCACCCATGTCAGTCAGTTGGAATTCATGTTATTAGCATCACTTCCAGTGGGCTGGGCAGGGTGGAGGACATAATGAGGGAGGATGTTCCAGTATCACCAATGGAAGATCTAGTGGCCCAAATGCAGGGAGACAGGGCTGCCAGTGGAGACCCTGTCAGGGAGGGTCCACTGTTTTTGTGATCACGCAGAAGGGGACAGACATTGATTGTGCGCAGCCTGACAAAGAGTTAGAGCAGATAGGAAAGGTCAGGGTCAAATGGCGTGAAAGTGAAAAAATGGCTGAGCATCACGCAATGCCCTGAGATGAATGATGCAGCCTGCAAGTGTTTTTCATCATTAGCTGTTAATCGCAGTTGGCACAGTTTTCTTCTCTCTGATCACAGTGGGTGATGTACAACGATATTATCCAAAGACTTGTTTATTAAGAAAAATGTTTACTGATGAAAGGCATTTGTAAAACATACTTGTGAAATATTTTACATTTTTTAAAGATTACGTATCTGGCAAAAATAGATATAAAGGAACTAGTTTTATGGAAAATAATAATAATGTCTTGAGGTAATATGTGTTTATTCCCTTCAAACCTCAGACATGAAAAATTTTTAGTAGCTTCAGACAATGAAAATGCATTGATTTGACTTCTGTCTTGTCATTAAGTAGAGACAAACTATATCAGTATGTAGCAGTCAAATGGCATGAGATCAACACAGTAGATAGACTAAACAGGAGGTGAAGTAAGACATCATTAGTTTGTATACATGCAGAGCCCACTTTCTTGAACTGGTTGAACTTGAAACTGGCATACCGTGCTTACAATATCCAGAGGCACTCTGAATATTATTTTCATTGTGAACAAACAGGGGTGTTTTCAAAATGAAATGTCCACCTCGAAGGACGTCAGGTCTAAAATAACATTCAGAAAGCCAACAGCAGTATAATTCTGAAGAATTATGAGGTTAGTACAGTCACTTCAATCATAAAATATATTGTTTTTTAATATTAAATAGTCATTTTAGATCTTATTACAGTAATATTTACATTATCAAGTTAATTCCATAATATTTTAGACTGGTGCAGCGGTTCTTGTAGATGCAAACAAACTGACAAACTGATACGAAACATTACACAGTGTAGGCTTTTGATTTAGCCTTATTTAGCCTCATTCCCACGAGGAGCCTCATAAACTGGCCAAAGTGGTCAAATTCAGGTCTGGAGTTTTCCTGTTAACTATTGCCTTTAATGGGAGCAGTACATGTATCTCCTATATGTAGATCTGTTATATGATGTTTTCCAGGTGTGGTGTGTTGGAACGTGGCCATGGTGAGAGTCAGCCCTGCAGCATGAGCTTTTCCTCTGGTGATCCAGACTTGTATGATTTGCCCAGTGCCGGGGCTATGGAAACTGCTGTGATGGCAAAGCACAAGGTCAGTCAAACATAGTTATACAATCCAAAAGCTTCTTCCTCTGATTCTAATGTGCTGCAGTGCAACCTATTCCTTATACTGTTTCACAAAACCTTTGTTGCTTTTTCTAGAAGCACGAACCATTCCTTTTGTACAACTTTCCCCCCATTAAAGTCACTGTTCTTGGAAAACATTCCTATTTTTGTCTGGGTGCCAGAGGTGGAACAGACATCTACAACAAAGGTGAGTGAGATATAATTGACTGTAAACCAGGTACTGAGTCATCACTTGTCACATGGCCTGTCTGAACCGCTTTAAAAGGCGCTCTTCACTCATTATTTGGATAAAGCTGTAAGCCTCACCTTTTCTGATCAAAAGTTTCCTAATATCACACTCCCCAAACTTATCCTTAAAGACAGTACTGTATCGTTATGTGTGTTTCATCTCCTCTAAAGTTCTTGTAAGCGACTATTGATGCAGTGGAGCTGATCTGTCTCCTTTTGAAATGCTCCCCTCAAAGGTGCTGAATCCAAATCTCTTCACAATTGAGCTGTGCTACAGGGACTTCACGTGGGAAATCAAACGCCGTTTCAAGCACTTCCAAGGTCTTCATCAGTTGCTGCTGATGTTCAAGGCTCTTCTAAAGCTCCCCCTGCCAACCTGCATGTAAGAACTGCTAATTTGCACCCCTTTAGTCCCATACTCACACATGCACGCACGCACACACGCACACACACACACACATAAGAATGAGCAGAATCATACGAAACTAACACACACAGATACATGCCCAAAACTGACATTAGGAAAGGAGGCTATTTTTTACACATCACTTCTCTGTATCCCTGAGTGTTCATTTCTCAGCTGAGGGCTACTCAATTTCTCTTCAGCTCCATCTTCTCATTTCCTTCTGTTCAGCCGCTTGGAAAAATGCAGCATGTTCTCGCAGACAGTGGAAATTCATTTATATAACAAGCCCACTGAAGGCTTTCAAAAGAAAAAAACAACTTCCAGCCGAAATGAAATCTTGCGGAGTCTGGTAAAGCAAACATCGTTGCCATACTCTTAGTCTCAAATTTAACAAAATGCTGTTGTTATCTGTTCTTTTTTTTTCTTTTTTTTCAAGACAATGGATAGTGTGACCACCCAACCCCAATCTACAAAGGAAACAGAGAGGTAGCCCACACACTGAACACTGCAAGCTCCCAAAGGTTTAATGATGAAGTGTTTTTCGACCTTCAAAGAGCTGTTCTCTTATTATTTATTTTTTCTCAAATGCTTCTGAAGACATCATTTAATGATTGTAGTAGAATTAAAATCCTCATTGCAACCTTTATTTACAGTAATAACAATATTAGTGTTCAGGTTCTCTAATTAGGCTATGGAGGCACTCTACAGCTGAGCCAAAAGCAGCTGGATTCTGTCTGACAGATGCAGCCGG